AGAACCCAGCAAAAAGAGTCTACTGTTGCATTATTCCCTAGCGCCTATAGATTCCCATGTAGCCCTGACATATTCCCTCTGGCCCTTTATTCCCTGACCCCTGTAGCCTCCCATACAACCCTAAACCCTATACAACCCTAAACCCTATACAACCCTAAACCCTTATGTTCAGGGCTTTCGCTATGGTGCCAGCTTCGCCTTCCACGCGGACCTTGCGCTGCGGGGGGCGCTCGTGGTGACCTTCTGTGCTGCAACTGGCCGGTGCGTAGAGGATGGTCAAAGCGATGCGAATTATGTAGGGGTTCGGGCTTAGGATTCATGACTTCATATACCCAAAGCCTAGGAAGTGTGGTACTGTAGCATAGTTAGGGTCAGGCAGGATTTGACCTTCAACAGTCAACAGGTTCTGGGTTGGCCTGGGGTTGGTTAGGAGTTTGGTTTAGGGTTTAGGGTTTAGGGGTTAGGGTTTAGGGTTTAGGGGTTAGGGTTTAGGGTTCAGGGGTTGGGTTAAGGGTTTAGGGTGGAAATGACGCAATGTGAAAGGGGGTTTCACGTAGAACTTGTTACAAAGAGCGCTCACTGCTACTGATTTGGCTCAAGTGGCTGAAAAGTGCGCTGTGCAGCTGTGATACCACCACTGCGTGGTTATCAGCCGTATCGCAAGCGGCTCGCCTTAATTGTATGTCCGGTATTCCTCCAGGTAAGGGTCCCGGTAAGCAAGGTGAAAAGAAGAGGAAATTGGATAGTTCCGGGCGTGAGTTTGTTACCCGTGAAAGGGGCGGGAAAAGGGCGAATCAGGCTAAGAAGCTTGCAAGGCAGGTTTTGGAAGGGTTCCACGAGCCCCGCCAACAGTGGAGCGAGCAGAAACGCATTGAGTTTGAGCGCCTAGTTGATATTCAGGAGAGGCGTCGAGAGCTCGATAGGCTTGAAAAGGAGGCCACTCAGAGGTTTGCAGAGGCGTCCCAGCCCGCGCGTCGCGCAGGTGGGGCAGCCGAGGAAGGCCCAGGGGTAGAGGATTTCGTAGAAGTTGAGATTGATGCTTTGGAGCTAGCTGCGTTTGAGGCTGCGGAGGCCCGAGCTGCAGAGACAGAGGCTCCGAAGACCCCCTCTCCTACAAGTCCCAAATCTTCGCGCAAGAAGGGCAAAGGAAAGAAGAAGGTTGGCCCCACTCGTGTGCCACCTACTAAAGCCCCTGCAAAGGCCTCTGCTGTTCCTGAGCCCATCGCTGAAGTAGCTGCTGCTCCTGCCACTGTCATTGCCGCTGCTACCTCCAAGGTTGCTGCTCCTGAAGCAAAGGTAGCTAGCAAGACTGCTAAGACTGCACCATCGAAGCCCAAGATCTCGACAAAAGCCCCTACAGTCCCCAAGGTTCCTGCAAAGGCCGCTGCTAGTGTAGAAGAGTCTGCATCTGCATCCGGTATTTCTAGGACGGTTCCACCGCATCTTTCCTTTGGGGTTTCGGGTTACTTTCCGACAGTGCTTGAGTCGGATTCAGAAGAGGGATTTGCACTTCCCAAGTTTCGTGGTTCCAAGCGTCCTCGCACCCCTCCTAAAGATCCTGCTCCTGCACCCGCTCCTGCAAAGGCTTCGGTTCCTGCTGTTGCTAAGGGTCATTTGAGTGCTGCTGTTGCCGGCCAGCGCTTGGCCCCAACGCCCAAGGTTGCATGGCCACCGGCGAAGCGGACAGAAGGGGTAAAGGGTAGGGAGGATAAGAGTGTGCGTTTGGTTTTGGATTACCACTGCGTACTTGACCTGGATTTGGATCGCTCAAGGGCTGCTAGGAGGAACATCTTTTACCAAGAAGGTGTGTACCCTGGTGCCCAGCAAGCTCTGATTGAAGGGGTGCGAGCCCAGCCGAACTTGGAGATTGCTGTGCTGAGCTACATTGGTAAGTACTCTGCTGACAAGCGTAAGGCCACAAGGGAGAAGGTTAGAGCATTCCAGGTTGCGGTTCGTCGTGCTGGTTTGCGCAATCAAGTCTCCTGTGTTATTGTGGACGAATGAGAAGACAAGTGGCCATTGGTTCGTGATTGGGCTGCCCACGTTGCGGTTGACGATAACAAAGACATCATTGAGTCGTACACCCACGTAGGATCCCTGGAGCGTGCTGTGTTCTTTACCCAGAATCCTAAGATTGCTACGCCAAGTGGAGCAGTAAAGAGTTGCGGCTGGTCCCAAGTGCTAGATTTTGCTAGCGAGTGTGTGCCGTCTCCCACCCCAGCGGTGTGGCGTCGGTTGCCCACGGCATAGGCACTGCCTGCGCCGTGGGTGGGGCCTCCATTGCGTGGAAATTGGATGGCCGAATCCTCCCTTGATTTCAGTAGGGGCGATGTCTGGAACAGGGATGGTAGGCCGAGCCTCTGGGGGAAGTGGGGGAGCTTCAGAGTCCTCCAGCCCGGGATCGAAGTTGGTTAGGAAAGAAACGAAGGCAGGTAGGGAGCGTTCAGGGTCGTTTTCCCGGGAGCTGTCAGCGCGTCGCGCGGAGCGAAACCGGCAGGGTGTAAATAGAAGGCCTTTTTCTATGGAAGTTGAGCATGCCCATGACACCGCCGACACCTCCGCCGGAGCCGCTGCCTCTGCCTCTGCTGATTCCGCCGTCCCGGGTCCACGCAACATGGCACAGATGTTTGCTTACAGACAAGGCGACCAGGTCGAGCACAACACACAGACAAGCACGGACAATAGGCGAGCCGAGGTACATCAGAACGTGATGAATCAGTATGATCAAAGGCAGGTCCATGTCAGCAATCAAGTTGACCAAAGGCAGGTACATGTTCACAATTCCGCCGACCACCAAGTTGTTGTTCAGGCAGCACGAGAGGTCTTAATGGCGCACGAGCGTGTCGCTAATGTAGAAGCGGAAGCTCTTCAAGCCGTTTTGGAGGCAAGGGGTCAAGCCTTGGCAGGTGTTCAGGAAGCAAGATCCCAAGCAGAAGTCCTAGCGGTTAGGTTTGCAGCTGAGATTCAGGATTCCCAAAGAAGAGAAAGGGAATTGGTTCGTAGAATCGAGGCGTTGCAGGAAGAGGTGAATAGAAGGGACAGGGATACCCCAGTTCAGTCCCCAAAACCTCCTGGCATTCCTGCTGGTCCTGGCCTTAGCAATCAGAATCCACTTGACATTCCCAATGGCGCGGGAACGGATGTGCTGGCACAGATCTTAGAAAGAGTCTCGACCTTAGAAGACGAGCATGCCTCGCTCCGTGACTTGGTTCAGAATATGTGGTATGAGCAACAGTCTTGGAACACATGGCCGGAAGCAGCTTCCCCAGTGAAGTCGGTTTCAGGGCAGCCCAAGGTTCACCGCATAGATACCGAGTCAGATCCGGAAGAGGTTCAGAGGGATGCAGCTCCTAGCGTATCTAGTGGTAGAGCAGAAGAAGACATCGAGATGCAGCGCATCAAACAGAAAGATCTCCATTATCTGAAGTTCCCAGCTTTGCCGGATAATGCTGGTGCTTTCCGGTCTTGGCGCAACTCGGTTATTCCCATGATTGCTTCATATGATCGTTCTCCAGAGGGTTCGGTTCATGAATGGGTGATGCGAGCCTTTCGGGCCCGCGCCGAGGATGAGCTTCAGTCCCTTCAGGACTCTTCAGGTGAGTACCCACGATTCGACCGGGTCTTGGCCAGTGAAGCCAGAACACTTGAAGTCAGCATTTGGTATGAAGTTCCAAAGCTACATCGAAGAATGTGAGATGTTGTCACGGCCTCTGCGTGGTAGGGTGTTGCTGAACTACGTAGCAAGAGAGTTTGACCCTGATGCCACTTATGGATCGGTAGTGTCAGAGCTTGAGCTGTTCAGTCTGCCTGCGCCAGAAGGTTCCATGGCTAGTCTGCGTGCGTGGAGGGACAAGGTTCGGTACATCCTTAATCAGCTTCCTTTGTCTGAGCGTCCTGCAGAACGATTGCTTTCCAAGAGGTTGTTTGAAAGATTGAAGAAAGTCGGACTGTTGCGTAGGCATACCGACAAGATTCGTGACTCCCCCGAAGGTTCCCAAGAAAGACAGTTTGAATGGTTGTGGTCTAGGTTGGAACGCACCATCCTTGAAGGGCAACAAGAACAAACCTACTTTCCATTCAAGAGTCCTTGCGCAAAGGCCCCAAGAAGGAAGTTCCAGGTAACCCGGGCGTTCCGGACGGCAAGGGCAAGGGGAAGGAGGGAGGAAACGGAACAGGCAAAGGCAAGGAGAAAGGAAAGAAAGGAGGATCCAAGGGAGATGGGAAATCGCCAAAAGAGAACCCAAAGGCTCCGGGCGGAAAGTCCAACAAGGAGGGAAAGGGTAAAGGTAAATCCAAGGCCCCAGACCCTTTGTGGGAGCAAGCCAAGGAGCAAGGCCTTTGCGTCTTTTACCAGCGTAACCTGTGTAGGCGTGACAATTGCCCATTTAAGCATGAAAAGCTGTCGTCAGTCCCCGCTAATCCGGCCCCGCCAGCGGCCAATCAGGGTAACACAGGAAAGGCGAAGTCGGCTGCGTCGCAGCCGAAGGCCAATCCGAAGGCGGCGGCGGTGGCGATGGTAGTCGCGGCCACGGTCACATCGGGAGCGACGGCCACATACACGGGGCCTGCTTGCGCTTTAGATGTGATAGCAGACACAGGAGCTGGTGAACACTTGGGTTCGAGAGAGGCGTTCATGACGCAAGGTGCAGAGAAAGATGTGGTAGAGCATTGTTGCGGAACATCCTTGAGCCACATCGCCTTCGAAACCGGAGGCGGGAAGAAGAATTCGAACGAGTCCATTGGTTTGTGGTCTGAGTCCTTGAAGAGCGTAGCCAACATGTTCATGCTTAAGGCTTAAGAGTTGCCCTCTGGTGTATTCCATAGGACAATTCGTTGTCAATCAGGGTTACAGCTTCAAGTTGCCGCGTGGTGAGCTTCCGTTCTTGATTCCGCCAGAGGTTCCGTTTGAGCTGTCTGTGGATAGGGGTGCATGTAGAACGGCAGATCGCATAGACCATTGTGTGCCAATCTTCAAGGAGCGTGTTGAGTTGGTGTCAGGCATGCCCGCTGGAACCATGATCCCAGAAAAGCCCCCAAAGCAGATTAGAGATTGGTCTGTTTGGACGGGTTGGCGTAACATAGGTGATGGCAGGGTTTGCGTTAGACGCAAAGCGTCGAGACATGTCACGCCAGATGTTGAAGGATATGATTTGCGCACCACATGGTTGTTTAACGCAAAGGATCAATGGTATCAGCTTGAAGCCCAAACCAAATGGCAGGAACTCGAAACAGCCGAAGCAGATCTTCCCTTTCAGGCGGAGATTCTCGTGACACATTTTGAGAGGTCCGAGGCGGCTTCTCATTCACCGGTCGTCGAAGCTGCAGCGCCCGAGGAAGCGGAGCCAGCGCGTCGCGCGGTCCGCGAGGCAGACGGCGAAGCAGCGGCAGAAGAAGATGCGCGGCCGGAGCGCCCCTCCGATGAAGCGGCAGAGGCGGAGGACGAAGAGGAATGGGTAGAAGAGTTGGCCCCCAACCACTTTTTGACTCATCTCCCGAAGTGCAAGAAGTGTAACATTTGTTTGCAAGCTAAATTGACTTCTAGGCCCCACCGTCGTAGAAACAATCAAGCTGAGTCACTTAGGGAAGCTCGAGACATAGAGGAACCCGGAGGCCCAGTAGAAAGGATCTCTGTTGACCATTTGTTCGCGTACGATTCTCCAGGAGAAGGGGATGAAGTTGTGTCATTGGTTTGCAGGGATCGCTACTCAGGTGTGGTTTGGACATATCCCGCGGAAACCCGGGAAAGTGAGGAAGTGGAAGATGGATTGAGGCACTTCTGTGGTAGAAAGGCTCCCATAGTTAGTGTAGCTTCCGACAGGGCACCAGAAATCCTGAAAGCAATTCGTGATTGTGGTTTTAACTCAGAACCTGCAGTTGCGAATGACATGTGTAACGTTACTATGGAACCCCCGAAGGTCATAATGGATTTGGCCAAGGAAAAAGGGTTGGAAATGGCGCCAACCAGATACGAGGCTCACGTGCAGTACCCTTACGAAGAGTACCTGATACCGTTTGGTGCCTTGGTCTGGTATAGAAATAAGGATGCTGGAACGTTCGCACCAAAGGGCGAGCCAGCTCTTTACATGGGGCCCGAAGTGGTGGACGGAATCCGTCACAAGGGTGCTCATATGGTGGCTGCGCTTAGGTCAATCCGAGACGGAGACTTTGCGGTCACGGTCACCAAGGACCTTGCAGTGCCAAATGGGCGCTGGAGCTTTCCGCTGGCTAAGGCAAGAGTGTTGGATGAAGTTAATCCTCACCACCGTCTGCCCCCGGCAGTCGGCTTGGTACCTACAATCACTCCCCTGCTTGCAGAAAGAGGTTTGACAGCTTGTTGGACTTTCACGAGCCCCTGCGCTTGGAGCGAAACTACAAGCCGCCGGAGGAGGAGGAAGTGCCTGCCTTCTCAGGCCCAAGTGACGTCGCAGAGGCGGAGTCCCCAGGTGGGGCGGCTGCTTGTGTTGACTTGATCCTTGGGGCAGTCGCAAAGGGTGCTTGTACGGACGTTGTTGCCCAACAGCTGTTTGAGTCGCTGAGTAAGCCTGGTCCCTTCGCACTTGCGGCAAAAGCCAGGAGGGAACTTGAGAAGAAGGCGAAAGGTGCTTGTTTTGTGGAGTTCTGTTGTGCGTCGTACAGTCAGTTGCGTCGCGTTGCAAAGAGCTTCGGAATAGAATACCTTGGCTTGAGTCTTGACTTCGTGGACTTGTCGGACCCAGATGCCTTTGCGCAGGTTGAAGCTTGGGCAGTTGACAGGGCAGAGGCCGGCGTTGTGATTCACTTGTTGGGATCGTTACCTTGCACGCCTTGGGTTTCTTGGCAGCACCTTAACTTGGCAAAACAAGGTGAAGAGTTCAGAGCGTGTGTTGAAAAGGCTCGCGAGGAGTCGTTGGTGTTGGTTGAACACTTCACAAGGTTAGCGGAAGTTGCTGTGTGTTCAGGAGGGTCCGCGTCGTTTGAATGGCCGAAGTACTGCGCGGGATGGGTTCAGCAGCCGGTGCTGGACATGATATCCCAGTTTGACATGAAGATGAGCCATCCAACAGGGTGCGGTTTCCGCTTGTGCATAGACGGCAAGTGGCCGTTGAAACAGTGGTGTGTCGTCAGTACGCATGCGCGGTTGACTGTTGAGTTGGACCGTCGTTGTTGCAGACATGACAAAGGCCACAAGCATGACCAGCTGACCGGTGATGTGGCATGGAAATCCGGGTTTTACAACAGAGCGATGGCCACGGTCATCCTTGGAGCTCTATTCCCGAAAGAAGTACATGACCATGTCCCTGCGTGTCCAGTCGTGGCAATTCCGGAAGGACCGGAACAGCACGCGGAGCGGGATGTCCCATTCCCGGCAGAGCTGACAGAAGTAACCGCCATGGTGACCAAGGCACTTACTAGAAAGGAGATGCTTGAGTCGGCTCCGGCGTTGGAGGCTGTTGCCAAAGAGGGAGAGAAGATGCGTGCCAAAGAAGTTTGGGACGATGCCACCGCCATAGAAGTTGACGTGCTGTGTCGTCAGGCAAGAGAAAAGGGAGAGAAGATACACATAGCCGACGCAATGGCTATTGCTGGGATTAAGAACTCAGAGCTCCCGCCGGACAAGCATGTTCACAAGGGAAGGGTGGTATATCGTGGGGACATCACTAAGGATGAACAAGGATCCCCGGCCTTGTTTCGGGAGTTGCAGTCGCTTCCCACCAACATACAGGCCATCAACCTCACCATCTTCTTGGGCATGATATCAGGTTGGTTGGTACAGGCTGCTGCGCTTGTCAGGCCTTTTTACAGGCGCCACTCCGTTCACCCATTCCTACGTGGGTAACTTTACCTCCAGAGTTATGGTTGAAACAATGGCGTGGCAAGTACAGGCGTGTGGCCGTTAAGCTACGTAAGGCATTGTATGGCCACCCGGAGGCTCCCGCGGACTGGCAGGCGCATCTGGAAAGTGTACTTGTTGGCATGTTGTTGGCTGTTGCAGTAGATGGTTTTCCGTCAGTGTTTTGGTTACCTTCCTTGTGTGTGTTGGTCACCATATACGTCGATGACATCCTAGCAGCAGGCAAGCCAGCATCGTTGGCCAAGTTCTGGGAAGAACTTCAACGCCACATTGAGATAGAGACACCTGGTGGAGTGGACCGGTTTTTGGGCAGGTACCACCTAACTCAGAGTGAGGGGGGTGTTATCTTGCATATGTCGGAATATGCCCGCCAATGTGTTGACCTATACCTTAGCCTACCTGGGTCAAAGCCTCTCAAGGCGGCAGACTCGCCGTACGTGGCGGAGGGCACGCTCACGTTGGAAGACTACGAAATCAAGGTAGCTCTGTCGACCCAGTCTGCGAAGATACTTATGAAATTACTTTGGTTGGCACGGTTGTGTCGTCCTGATCTATCATACGCGATCTCGGCCCTAGCCTCGCAATCGGCTACTTGGAGTAAAAATGCCGATAAACAAGTCCATAAGTTGCTTTGCTACGTCTATGCAACTATGGATGTGGGGTTGAGGGGGGTGGTTCGAGACAAGCTAGAAGATTGCCAGCTTGATTTGTTTGTTGACGCAGACCGTCCGCACACGGCGAAATCCACCAGTGGCCTCTGGTTACAGGTTAGTGGACCATCTGGGACGCAGTTCCCGATAGCTTGGAGCAGTCGAAGACAGGGAGCCGTCAGTCGTTCAACGACGGAGGCTGAGATGGTGTCACTAGGCGAAGGCTTGTTTGTCGAGACCTTGCCGGTACAGGACTTGCTGTCGAAGGTGTGCGGAACCACTGTACCTTTGGTATTGCATGAGGATAACGAAGCTGTTTTGAAAGTGGTAGAGGCGGGGTACTCAGTGAAACTTCGAGGGCTGGTTAGAACCCAAAAGCTTTCCATAGCCTCGGTGTCGGACTTTGTTAAGAAGCACAAGAACGAAATTATGCTGAGGTACACCAACACTAAGGAGCAGCTGGCAGACCTGTTCACTAAGGCGATGTCCAGGATGCCGTTCCGAGAACTTGCTGCAAAACTGGGGTTAACTAAGGTCCCTAGCTCCTAGCCTCCTCTACTGCACTCCTAAGCTAAGCAGGTTTGCGAGTCTCGCGAACTGCAGTAAAGTGTTGGCTCTGCGCGTCGCGCAAGCTTCACTGCAGCAGCTTAGGAAGTTTTGGCGCTGCGCCGCTTTGCCGCCGCAGCCTGCGAGCGCCGATCTACATCTGATTCCCCTTAGCTCCTAGAATTTAGAAACCGGAATAGCTGAATGGGCCTAAGCTTTCTTTCCTGCCTCTTGGTGTCCAGGAGACCGCAACCCGAGAATTCGGGGCTTGGGTGGGACAGCTTTTCCATCGGAGTGCGGTCTGTCGGCTGGAGACGTCTTGACCAAGGAATGCTCAGGTTCATGGCAGCGCGCCCTCTTTGAGGGGGGACGCAATGTGAAAGGGGTTTTCACGTAGAACTTGTTACAAAGAGCGCTCACTGCTACTGATTTGGCTCAAGTGGCTGAAAAGTGCGCTGTGCAGCTGTGATACCACCACTGCGTAAATGTGTGCGTTATCATCACGTTCGTAACGTCGGGGTTAAGAAGGATCATTCCGGGAATTAACTCCAGCTTAAAACCTGAAACTCCCAAATTAGAAGCCCTAAGTATTGAAACCTTCAATCGTAAACCCCAAAGCTGTAAACCCTCAACCCGTGAGCATTAAACCCAAATCGTAAACCAGTCAGGCAAGCTATGCTTTCGAGTTCCTGTTCTGGTGGAATGCGCAAGGTTGGTCCATGAGCTGCTACGCAAGGACATAAAGTAGTCCAGGGTTCAAGACTATATAGCGTCTGGGGTTTGGGTTTAGGTTTTAGGGTTTGATATAGAAACATATCTCCCCCTGGTAAAGTGGTTATATATAGGGGTATTTAGGGGAGCGGAAAGGTAAATGCAAACTACCATTTTTTATCCTACACTGGGGTTGTTACCTTTTAAAAACAAGATTATGTTCTCCTCGCCCTCCGCGCTGTACCAAACCGCAAAGTCTCCCTGAAGCGCCCAACCGCAGAAAAGCGGCAGAGTATCCCAGCAGTGCTCCGTGGAGTGCCGAACCCCCGAGCACAAGTAGTAAAATCAAAGCTTCACCACAGGCCACCCCACCACCGCAGCGATATAGTCCCCCCCTAGGTAGATGGAATATGGGGTTTAGGGTTTAGGGTTACAGTCACCTTAAGTAGATAGAATGTGAGGTATATGGGGAGTTTTTTATGATATACCCAAAACCATATTCTATTACTTAAGGGGGACTATAGTGCTTGGAATGTGCAGTTGTTATGTCTGCAGGCTGGCACAACATTTTAGAATACATATTTGATGCATGCGTCAGATTGTTGTTACAGCTACATGGTGATGCCCCACGACCACAAACATGTAAGGGTGTTTTTTTGAGTTAGGGAGTGTTCCGACATCAACCCCCCAGCCCCCTGCTTTTAATAGACATGCCCATACATAGTATCTTGTAGTATATTGAGTATTCATTTTTTGGGGGGTTGTTATTAGTGGTAGGTGATGAGTAAAGAGTACAAGGCTATATAGGATTTTGGGTTAACGGTATTAGTAGATAGGTGCATGTGCTTAGATATATACACAGGGATGCGCACAGATATAATATACCCTCAGCCCTATAACCTGTAGGAAGCACCTCTACTTAGGTACAAGAAGCAGTCAAGTTGTCACAACAACACCCGCGGCCCTTAGCCCTAAACCCTAGGCCCTAAACCCCTAAACTCTAAATCCCTGAACCCCTCTACCCTAAACCCTACCCTGCTTAACACCTAAACCCCAAGCCCTTAACCCGGCACCCAGGCTACGTGGTGGTGATTGTGGCATTTACCTTGTACTTGGACTTGGGAAGCACAGTGGCCCTGGCCTGGACAGGCGTTCATGGCGTGGGAGGGCGGTTTGGGGTAGATAGGGCTGAATGGGGGATATATATATATATGTGGCATGGA